AATGTAAAAGCTAATCTAAAACAGTGAGAAGAAATAATTTAGAAGTTGAAAGCTTACTAAATAACTTATATTTATAAAACTTTACAGTTAAATTCAAGCCCTGCACATCAGAAAGATATAGTCAACAAAATTTTGTGTCAAGTGCCATTTTGAGTGATTATTCCCAATGCTGTATCATTTTATTTAAAATGACGTCTAAACAAATTTCTGGTAGACGATACAAAAAAAAAGTTTATCAAAGGTGAAGGGTTAATACACGTGTAAATGAACGTCGCGCGAAGAAACGATGCTCAATTAGCAACATTCAAGTTTCACAGGCAGAGAAGTCGATCACCCTGTTTCGCTTTTAGCGGAGACCTCGTTATCGCAAAGCAGCTGGTTCGTCGCTAGGTGAACTAGTAGTCATTTTCTCGCTCAGCGTGCCTTGTATTTCCTAGTTACGAACTCCTTAAGTAGTTACTTGTCATTGTTTGCATCTTTAATTAATAACGAGTCACTTCACGTATTTGACTCGGGTTGAGCGCTTACTTGCCTTCACAGTCCACGCGTGAATTATGTTTTATTCCGTATCGTCTGCTCTTTGCGCGTGCTTGACACCAGAAATGGATGAAACACGCTCTCTCTCTCTTTTTTTCTCTCTCTTTCTCTTTCTGTAATATTTTTATCGCCTGTTGCAAGCGTAAGAGCTGCAATTTGACAGAGTTATTGCTTGCGATAGATTAATCTGTGTGTTAGAGGAGCTCATCGCAGAAAGAATCGCGTAAACACGCTGCCATGCATGCCAGAATCCTTTGATTCGGAGATTGCAATTGCAGAGGTCAACGTAACATTCGACAATTGAAAAATATAAAGACGATACACAGCGCGTAGCGAAGTTGTCAATTAATAATTAAAGGGGCGAGAAACGGAAAGCGAATGGTATACTTGCGACATCGTGGAACTTGGGTTATACCCTAGGAAAGTTCCTCAACATATTGTTAATTTCCCTAGAGGAGCAGCGTGACCGAAAACTTTCGGATTATACCCGGCACCGGCACCACTCGGTGCAAGTAAACATTACCGACCGCGTTTACCAACGATTTGCAAGACCTGTTACAACGTCGTTGTCACGAAGCCCTCATGATGATCAATAATCTTAGAGGCTTACGCTGAAACGTTAAACGAGAATCGCCAGTTACGTCATAGCCGGTTTCGTTTACTTCCTGCCTGTAAATAATTACGGAACTATTTGTCGAACTGAAGGTAAATCTCGGCGCGTGTATGTATGTGTGTGTGTGTGTGTGTGTGTGTTTCTGCCCCATTATCTTTCTCATTTCACGCAACATTGTCGCGTATTTCACGCAGCGTTAGCCGCTCGACAAAATACGAACGTTCCCTGCGTGATACATATGCTTGTTCTCTCTGCTTCTTCCCCGATGGAATCAAATCGTCGTGGAAATCGAGCCGTTCGGCACGCGTCTTTCTAATTCTCGCGCAGATAGCGCACAGTTTGGCCATTGCTCGAGAACTTGGAAGGAGTTTCCCACGCTCTCAACTATTGCCAAACGGACAGGGAGAGATTTCACCCCGAAGGCATCAGCGTGGCGCAACAGGCACTCCATTGGCACTGGCCGTAACTCATAATTACGAACGAGCCAGTATAAATTTCAATTGTTATCAACTCGAGCGTGTATCCTTTTTGCGTAAACACAGAACGTAAACGTTCCGGCTGGAACTTTGAATTAAACGTTTCTCTCTCCAGTGGGATCCAGTCGGGCACGGGAACGAGAACGAAGCGGCAACAAAGAACTTCTTTATAATACGTTTTACATAGAGCTTCGTTTCGAAACGAAGGGGGAAACCTTAGCGGAAAATACAAGGCGTTCCCGAGGCTGTGATTCCGGCATGTAGAAATAAATCGAAGAAATGAGAAACCGAGAGAATCGCGTTCGAATATTTATCGAGTATACTTTAATTTGGCTAATTCTTTCCTGCGGAAAATGTCAGATGTGTAGTCAAAATGTACAGGATAATTTCCGTCGCGTGAAAATGAATCGAAAAGAGAAGAATAAAATTTGTTTTCGAGAAAATCGAAACATTTGAGCATTTATCAAGCTTGAATTTGATTAATCGTGGATAGAACGGAAAAGAATAATTAATAAGAGGGAGTTATGCTACGTGCGAAAGTGAAGTGAAAAATGTAGAGCAAAATCTTTTTTGCAAGAAATGCTTCGTTCTCGAGGAAATCGAGTTTGAAAATTTATCAAATACACGCGTGCACCAATTTTCAACGGGAGTGTATTTTCTTGAAAATGAACATTTAAATGTAAAAAGCTTTCACGCTTTTGATCCGTTTTTGCACGTGGAATAACCCACCGTTAATTATTCTTTCTCGTCACGTCCAGAATTAGCTAAATTCGAGCATGCTTAACGAATTTTCAAACTCGATTTTCCCGAAAACCAAGCGTCCTATGGGGGAAATTGTTTTTCTTTCTTCTTTCTCCTCGACTTAATTCTACACGTATAATATCACGTCACAGTTGCGCCACGATTTCAGGAACGCCCTACACTTTTCACTCCACCACGCTGCGCTAAACTCTCGTTCGTTACGGAACACTCTCGTAATCAGTCCGTCACCAAGCTGATTCATGCGACGACATAGAACGACACGTCACCAGAAGCTCGGAGGCTAGCTTTCTTAGGGCGATAAATTTTGCTACAACACGCTTTTAAACAGGGCCGTCGACGCTCACTCGTAAATCGTAATCAGTTTAATGCGGCTTACATGTTAACTGGGAACCAGCGGTTCGCAAAGTGTGCAAGACCGAGTGTACAATATTTTTCAGCTCGTTCGCCCACGCTCGAAGAGATATTTCAGCGTGGCCAACTCCATCCAAGCAAATAAGCGAAAGACGAAGCGAGAGACGAATGAAGAAAGGATCGCGGCTGGGAAACGGAGGGGGAAAGCGAAATTACCGCACTGATCGATTAGCTTTATCGTACTCGTGGCTATCTTGAGGCTCGAGATTACGCTATACGGCCGTCTATCCCCTCTCACTGTTCCTTCTTCTTTTCTTCTTACTCGCTCTATCGACTAACCATCGTTCCTTCCTCGGCTCTATATTATTTTTGTCGCGATTATCACATTATGTATATACGTATATATACGTACATAGTCTTTGGCAACTCGTTCGGTCGTGTGAGCCGTGTGCCTCATCCTCTTGCGCTGGAATAACGTGCCACGCACGTCGAGAATTTTTTGTTCCAAATTGCAACATTTTCTCAGTTTTAAGTATATTTAAGTGTATATTATATATATATTTAAATGTAACCTAGGCAAAACAGATAACAAGTTTATTAAAATGTATATTATATAAATGCAATATAATATAATAAAATGTTATATAAATATTATTAAATGTATATTATATATATTTAAATGTAACTTAGGCAAAACAAATAATAAGTTTATTAAAATGTATATTATATAAATGTAATATAATATAATAAAATGTTATATAAATGTTATTAAATGTATATTATATATATATATTTAAATGTAATCTAGGCAAAACAAATGATAAGTTTATTAAAATGTATATTATATAAATGTAATATAATATAATAAAATATTATATAAATGTTATTAAATGTATATTATATATATATTTAAATGTAATCTAGGCAAAACAAATGATAAGTTTATTAAAATAATTTCTAGCCAGTGATATCACACCGACGAGTTCAAAAGAAAAAGAAAGCAACGAAATTATTGCATACGATTCGGTCACTCGTTACGGTCCGCGCAACCAGTTGCCAGCGCAAGGAGCTAGGATCCTTTGCCCAGAACCAGAGAAGCCAATTTAGTTTCCATAAATCGATCGACTACTGGCTACTTTTCTCCAGTCGCTTTGAATTCGTACTCGTGTAGTACGGTGAATAAGCAATTGAAGCGTTAAATGAGTTTGTTCCTGTCTGTGATTTTTTGCGTTCCAACTAAAAATTGAATCGACCGTTGATCTACACGCTGTGCAGCTGAATATTCATCAGTTATCAAGGAACTACTTTTCTCTTTCATTGCGTTTTTACTATTCTTCTTCGTTCATACTCCGCTGCCCTTCTCCACTTTTATCCGTGCTACTTGTTATCCGGTTCGATCGTTAATTGTACGAAAGTAAATCCGTACATTTATTTCAACTGTTTAACAACATTTTGATATCGTATCATGTGAGAATGGCCGAATTCTATACAACAAGCTACAGCGCGGTCGGTTTTATCGCAATTTCTCTTTTTTTACGCCGTTTGGATCCCAGCCAAATCGCTTTTTGTCTTCGTATAAACCCTCGGTTACGATTTCCCTGGATTTTATTCGGCTAGCACCTGGTTCGATCTCGCTATTTGCTTAATGGGATACCTTTTCTTCCTATTTCGAATTCTAGAGCTGTCCGTTTCTAAATCGACTGTTCCTGTTCGAGGGAATTCGGTAAACTTAATTTTCTATTCCGCGAAATCAACCAGAAATCACTTGTGGCTTCCTCTGTTATTTATACTCGATTACTTTATTAACTCTGACGTATTAAAGTTTCCCTTTCGTCTTTTTTTTTTTTTTTTAGTAATAATTTAATCTGCGACGCAAAAGCTCGTGAAGTACTGCAGTTCTTTTATTATTGTTCGTTATTACTGTCAATCAGTAGACTTTTTTTCAGTTTCAATAGTTTATCATTTTTACCAGAGGCTCTTTCCTTGACCTACAATTATGTTCTTGACTTGGAAACTACAGATAATAAAGAGCGTTTATGAGTATATAAAATTAGAGGATCACAGGCGCCAGGACGCGGAAACATGAGAATAGGGTAGAAAACGACCGAATTTTCTAAACTACATATTTTGGGTGAAATCCAAGAATCTGCGATAAAGTTAAAAAATCTGCGATGTATATGAGCTGCGTTATGTTGAATCCATTCGCAAGCTTGTTAGTATATTTTTATTTCGAAAATTTTTGATCTAATATCAGAGAAAATTAAGGAACTTTTAAATAGGTTCTGTTTGAAACGTGGATCGTACAGCTTTTTCGGAAAATCTTTGTGCTCGGATAAGATAGGGCTTGTAAGAAATATAAAAGTAATAATTTTTCTCTCAATTATCGTAATTTATTTATCGATATTAAAAAAGTTGTTAGCAAATACTGTTCAGTGAATAGTACTCGAATGTAAAAATAGATTTTCAATTAAACATTTTAAAATGACTTGTTCCCTTTTATATTTTATTATAATAAAAGTTCCAAAAGGAATTTTACTTATTATTCTTATTATTTATATAGTTATATTATAATTATATAAAATATTCATTATAAATTTTTTTTAATAATTTTAAATTTATTTCAAAAATATTTATTATAAATTATATTATATTATATTATTTATATAGTTATTATACAAATTTTCTATCCCATGAGAACATTATTCAAAAGTGTTCTACTTTCTTCTATAAAAATTCCACGAAAACAGATATTTCTTTTACACGAAATATACAGAATAGAGTTCGAACAGAACGTTTTCGAAAACGAAAAGAATTTCAATCCCTGTCAACAACTAAACAGTGAAATTTCTTCATAGATGCAGAAACAGAGAAGTAAATAACATGTTAGAACCTGAAACAGTCTCAATGCTGGTAGTCGAAACGTTGCACCCACTCACACATTAAATCCATTATTTTTCCCCAAATGTCTAGAACGGAGCACGAATTATCTCTCAAAATTTACTGCGCCTGTCTATATATCCAACGACGAAATCTACTTAACCCAATTCGGAACGACCTGCGGCGATTTATAGTTCCCATTGATTCTAATAGAATCGAAATCCATATCGTTTGGTCAGATGCGTCACTCAACCATCCATCGGAGTGACTTAATGCGCGAACATGGAATCCAAAAAAAAAAAAAAAAAAGAAGAAAACAAAAGAAAGAAAGAAAAAAAAACCATTTTTCACCAGTTCGATAAAAATGTTTTGAACCCAATGGTAATATGCCAGAATCTTATGGGATGACTTCGATCCTCTTATCGGAAGATGATGCATCATCGTGATGGATCGTTGTGATTTTCCGCATCGTGATTCGTCGTTCAAGTTTCTCTATCTCGCACTACGATGCAATAGATGAGAATGGATTGCCGCTGCATTCCTTTTACCTTCGTAATTTCGTAATCAATCTCTTCAGCGGATCGAGATGTCTGGTAAAAAGTAAATCTGACAATAATACTCCGTCCCTCCGGTGTATTTGATACGCGCGCCCGATATAAATTATTGTCAGTTATTTAATTGACAATGATTGACGTGAAAGCACTTTGAGTAAACCCGGATCGATCAATACGCATCGCGTTGCAAAATATAAAACAATTATCGGCGAAGGTCCGACGACGAAAAATTCGACTATGTCGGACGTCACGAGCAAACAACGCAGCGTGTTCCAACGGTCCGCGTTTTTTTAGGCGGTTCTTCGTTCTTAACGATAGTCGAGAGGTAAACACGAGACGTTATATCTCAATCTCATAAACAAGCCGCTCGTTATTGGAATGCCGCCGTGTTCGCATTATCATAAAAATTAAGTCGCGTAAAGGTCGGACGTGCGAAATTTCGCAATTACCACGGTAGCCCGCTAGTTAGCTAAACGAGCCAATCTAGTAATTAAACATAATTTCGTGTTATTTACGACTTTAATTCGTAGAGCAGAGTCGTGAATTTGAAAACTGGCCCTCCGTTGCCGAATTAATGTTTGCTTTAAGTAAAAGCACGTACAAAGTGCGAACAGTCACAACGTCTTATCGATTTACTGGCCAATTTTTCTGCGTTTTTGTTCTCACGGTTGATAGTGACTAACATGGGAAATTAAAAACTCTGGAAATTCAAAAAATTATGACATTTAGAGTAATTCATAGGACAAATTTTTTTATCAATAATTCTAAGGGGTGAATCATCCCTCGAAGGAAACGAAAGATTGCACGGTCTTCTCTATTTATAGAAATATAAATGTCATTTTGAAAAATTCAATTTTTAAGAACAGCGACGATCGATGATTTGAAAAGCTATGAATTTTTCAAAAAATAGTTTTACAGATGCGAGAAAACCATACACAATTTTTGGTAGAATTTTCTTTTCCGGGTATCTCTCTTTCCGCCATTCTCGAGATATTTCGTCCCAGAAATTACATTTCACATTTCTATCGATGCAAAAGTAAAATATGAGGGGTCGATTTCACCTCTGAAGCGCGAGGTGAACCACGGGTTCGAGCACGCACGAATTATTCTACCTGTATTTTTGATTATCTTTTGAATTTCCTGGTTCCCTAACTTCCCTTGTAAGATGAACCGCATGTGCCTGCCTAATAACTTTACAGCCTTCCTTCGCCGGTACAAGTTTCATCGATTGTGTCGTATTATCGTCGTTCCAAAGTGGACAGCAATCTCCTCCTCCGGGTGTAGCCGAGACCCGATACAATTTATAGTTGCCCTAGCGCGTTGAAAGTAGTTCGAAAAAGATTTTACGAATGGATTCCTTCGAAACGTTTTACCGAGTTCCGTACGAATAGATGCAATCAACTACAAATCAGTATGTCTGAGCGTTTTGTTTTGCACACTGCGAATACAAATGGCCAGTTTTGTTGAAAATAGTTCAGTTTCAAGTGTCTACTGTAAGAACACAAAAATATAAGAATACATTTCAGGAATATAAATGTCGTTTTATTTATTCATATGTAAATGCAGAATTGCTACCCTCGCGTTTGAGGGAAGAGGATGAAGGGGATCTTATTCAAATAAATTCGCATCTCTTTAAATGTGGAATTTTCTCCAATTGAGAATGATCGGACGCGATACTTTGTATAAGTAGTAATCGACGTGCTGCAAGAATAACTGACTTTCTGGAAAGCCACAGAAATTCGACGAAGGAAGACAAAGTGAAGCGGAACGTATCCGAAAAATGGCTAAGGTCACACAATTTATGGCTTCTAACCGTACGGTGATGACAGCAGGAAAAAGTTCTCCCGTCCTGCTTTTTCGCTTTCCGCCTCTCTCTATTCTTTCGCAACAATACAAATGTCGATCGTAAAAACAATATTCTTATTTTGATATCTTTTTCAGTCCTCGGTGTTTTTCTCTCTCCCTAATATCTCCCGCGAATGTTTGAGACGTTCGAGACAAGGTTTGAATCGAAAGAGTTATGATTCTCGATTTAGTTGCCATTTATCAGAAACTAACGAAAATTAATTTCATAAAAATAACATACTTTTCACATCTTTCGTAACTTGGAAATTTATTTGAAAATATCTGAATCATTGACCTCTTAAGCGTCTTATGTCGGGTATACTCGTCATGTAGAAAAAAATTCGCTTTCGCTGTTTATTGTAAAATTTGGGTAAAAAGAGTTATATACACTTGCAGTTTTAGCACATTTTAGAATATTTCAAGGCAACAAAGCAAACAAAGAAAACATGCACTTAACGCAATCGGTACAATGCAAAAATAAGTTGAATTTATCTCTAATTTTGATTTTACAAATATTTGATTTTTTACTTCTTTTTATGAATTGATGAAAATTCAAAAATTCAAAATCCCTTTCTCCACATTTTGAATCTTTAGTGGAATAATTTTCAAAAAATAAAATATTAAACTCTGTAAATACTGTAAATATCAATAAAGTTAAAAGTCTTTCAAAGAAACACCAAAAGATTTATCATTTTGTTGCAATTTAACTCAATATTATAGCAAGTGCATTTACTGTGTTTTCATCGAGTCTAGAAATAATTAAGCACACCGGTGCACATTTTCGAAATAAAACAGAACGCTTGAGGGGTTGAAAAGTTATTTGTAGTTATTAAAAAATTATTTGACCTTCTCTGTCTTTTTCATTTAGCGCATTTTTCGTTCGGCAACTCTCGGTTTATTTCATACAAATCTCAAACGGTGCCGTTTCCACAGATTGATTCGTCGGGTTTTATTGTTTATCGTTCGACTTGCAGGATTAGGCTCCCTTTTCGATTTACTCTCCAGAAAAGAGTGTTGCTAGGTATCAAAAGAAATCCATCATCTTCTTATCCACTCAACCACGTAGATATACCTTTTCCTTTTCTTTCCTAATTGTAAGCCGCAATCTCTTCTCACCTTCACGAACATCTTTCACTCGCGTTTGCGATATGTCTTATTTTACACTCTTTCCCACAAGTAATTCAATATATTGCGGCCAGTTTTCCTTCAAGAAGTTAAGCTTGACTTTAATTTGAATATTGAATTTAACACTTAATTTCGCTGGAATGCCAAATAAATATTAATCGTGTACTCATTTCTTGTAAAGCATCGACACGATTGTCGTTTAATCGTGCAAGTTCGGTACAAAAGTATAAAAATCGTAGTTTCAAACTTACTAAATAAATTAATTTCTTAACGTCAATATATTATTGATTGACTGTATCATGAATTTTGGAAAGATACTTTGGAATGTGAAATAGAAAGGAATAACTATTAACTCGTATTTTCATAAGAGACATAAAAAAGAAAGAGAAAGAAACGCAAAGAATACATAGAAATGTGTCATGTTTAGTTTACACCATCTCATAAAAGCAAAAATCTAAAAGTCTTTACCGAGTTATAGCAAAAATTGAAAATCTAATAGTATATGAGAACAGGTGAAGTGTCGCATAATGCAACGTTTTGTCGCATCTTCACAAACAACAACGTGATATTCAAGATGGTCGAAGTGAGTGGGCCACCAAGATTATTTCTGCTTAAATCTTGGCATGAACAGGACCAGAGGTACGTACTAAGAGCTTCGTTACTTTCCCTCATCATTTATTCTTTTATTGCTTCTCTTCTTTCTCATCCTTTTCCACTGCCGGCTTTTCCTCTCTTCAGTTTATCTTCTTCCCCCTATATTTCTTTTTCCTCTCTTTATCCTTCCTTCCTTCCTCCTTCCTTTTCTCCCATTCCTTATAACCGCATAAGGTGCACAAGTCGAGAAAAAGATACCATATTATACCTTCCCCCCTCCCTCCGTAAGATTTATTACAGTTCTTAGAACAGTGTAATAGTTTGCACAAAAC